GAATTTAATAATTTTTTTTTTCTTTTTTTTCTAATTACCATAATGGAAAAAATTTTGTTACCACGAGAGAACGAAGAGGGGAGGGAGGGTGAAGGGACAGTTAGCGAGAACATTTAAGAAATGACGAAGAAATATGTTTTCGTCGTTGGAATATAAGACACGCAAACGGGGGAAAGAGGAGGAGGAGGGGAGAGGAAGCACGTTCTCTAAGCACGTTCTATATTGTATATATGTTTCTCAAACGTTTCTTCCTTCGAATGGCAAGGTCGACTAACCTTGAAAAGTAAATACTTTCTTTCGACGCGACCCAAGAGAGACTATTTTCTAACATACTTCGTGTAAGAGCCAATATATTTCAAGGAAAATAACTTTTGACTTTGGTAACACAATAGATTATAGAGCACATTGATTTTTAACATAAATCATATTGCGATTTTCTATACGTAAGGACAAATATACATTATTTCTAGAAGAAAATATTATCAATTGTTATGGTCGTAAAAACACATTGATTGTTAACATAACTCGCATTACTCGGATTTTTCAATCGTAATATTTTAACAATATGTTTAAACAAAAATATATATTTAATTGCTATAATAATAAAAGAAAATATTGATTTTGAAATGACACATGACAATGATGTTACACATACATATATGTATGTAAAATTATTATTAAAGCCTTTTAAACGAAATTCTGATCAACGTTAAGAGAAGACTCAGTCTTATGATCATCTTAAATATTTTTGGTCATCTCTTTTTCTTTTATCTTTTTTCCTTTTGGCTATTATATTTAAAAATCAAATGGAATAATAATACATCGAGAATAAAATATCTCGAATCATTTTTTATTATTTACTTATATTTATTTCATTGGCCATTAAATATGAATGCAAATTTAAATGTCTACCTATATATATATATATATATATATATATATATATATATATATATATATATATATATATATATATGTAGATAGATATATCTACGACGATATCAGTGTTGTCGCTTCATTCATCCATTTTTATTGCGCGTAGGAGTTGTCGAGTTTGTTTTATGGAACGAGTAGGAGGAGAAGGAGGAGGAAGAGGAGGAGGAAAAGATATATTCATGGATGTAAAAAACGAAACTGTATCCCTAACCGGTCGAAAACAACGAAAGCAAGCGTGTAGTATGCTCACATTCTCTTTCTCTTTCTCTCTGTGTCTCTCTTTCTCTCTCTTTCTCTATCTTTCTCTCTCCCTATCTCTCTTGTTCGTTCATCCTGTAGGACCTCGAATCACTTTGACCTTCTCTCATCAATGTTAACGTTCCAACGTTTGTGGACCTGTAACGTCCTTTTACCTAGCAATTTCACATTGAATATATGCTAATGTATGATTCGCCAAAGCTTCTTGTGATTTATAAATCTAACTGAGAAGGACCGGTCTTTATATTAGATATAACATCTAATAATTATTCGTCGGAATATTTTTCGGACTTATTTAGCTGCATCTTTAACGTTCTCTCAAAGAGAAATGAAATAATTAAAACAGCATATTATCGATTAAATTTAACGAGAAAGTATATTTGTTGCATGTGTATGCAAGAAAAAAAAAGAAAAACGAAAAGAAAAAAGAAGTTAAAATTTTGACAGTCATATCTATATAACGATTACTTAACTATGTACATACATACAAAGATAAGTTTTTATTAGCTCGTTTTAACTTGGATTGAACCTTGTGATTATTTACATTTAACTTTTTACGACGCATAGATAAAACAAAAGAAGAAAAAGTGAGTCATATTAATTAAAATATTTTATAAAATAAAGAAATACATATGTAAGTACATTAGATAAATGTACATATATCTTTACATATGCAGATAACGTAAAATTTTTTACATTATCTTTCTTCTTCTTTCCTTTCCTATTATATATATATATATATATATATATATATATATATATATATATATATATATATGACACTATGAATGTTATGAAATTTAGCAATAAATTGTAAGAGATAATTATAACAATAACAATAATAATAATAATAATAATAATAATAATAATAATAACAATAATAACAATAATAATAATAATAATAATAATAATAATAATAATAATAAAAATAAAGAAAAAATTCAAATAACAAATCGCACGTTAATAAGATTCGTATATTTCGTAAAAATGGGATGCATGAAGGAGAATAAAACGAACAATAAAAAAAGAAAAAAAAAACAAAAAAAAAACAAAAAACAAAAAACAAAGCAAAAAAGAAAATAAACTCCCTCCCTCGTACCCATCCCCGTCCCTATCACCAACTAAATTCTAATTTTATCTGACTTAACCGTCTTACATGATTATACATAAGTTTTTACAATAGAGCATACGAAAGTAAAGATCTTAGGATCAACGAAGCTTGGAACCATCTGTCTTTAAACGACGAAAAGGGCACAACGGGTTGGTTGGTTGGTTGCTTGCTTGCTAGCTTACTGGCAGTCTGCCTGCCTGTCTGGTTGGCCGACAATGAACGAGGTTCTTCATAAACCGGGTTTAAATCTCCGGGTTTAGTTTCTCCGAGGTGGGTAGCCACTCGTCGTCAAGCTGTAAACTACGACGAGAATGGACCCATGGAAAAGTTATCCCTTTACGTTTAAATCTACGTAAGTATGTAAGTATATTTCGAATCAGTTAACGAACGTTCCTCTACCAAAAAGTAGAATTTCTTCTCTCTCTCTCTCTCTCACTCTCTTTTTTTTCTCTGTCTGTCTCACTCTTTTTTCCTTCTAGAGTCATCCGCAACACGAAAAATAAAAAGAAAGAAAGAGAAACCGGTGTGAGTCTTTCTTCCTCGACTCTTCGTCGTCGTCGTCGTCGTCGTCGTCGTCGTCGTCGTCGTCGTCGTCGTCGTCGTCGTCGTCGTCGTCGTCGTCTATCTATTTACCAGTCCCTCCATTCACCCAACTCCCACTCCCCACCCCCATCCTTTTTTTATTCGCTAAAATTCATTGATAAAATGAAATGAAATTTTCCTTGATATCAAATGATATTCATTTTTAACTACTTGTACGCGAAGCCATTTATGATTATAAAAACAAATTTTGTTAAAAAAAAAAAAAAAAAAAAAAAAAAAAAAAAAAGAAATGTACACATAAAAAATTTCAAAATCATTTACCGAGGTAACGAATTAATGTTGATGACAGTAATAATAATAATAATAATAATAATAATAATAATAATAATAATAATAATAATAATACTAATAATAATAATAATAATAATAATACGTGTAACTATTATGACTCGTTATAATACTTGTGCCCAAAAAAGGAAAAGATTAATATGTATAATATACATTTTAAAAATTTAATCGAATTATGATAAAGTAAAAATCATTATTACGAAGCAAAATAGAAAAGATAACGTAAGTTAATATAATAGATCAATTCTATTTGTTTCTCATTACGCAAGTGTTCCAGAAATTTAGTAACATATAGTTAATACATGTTGTTTAATAGTTACTCCCAGAGCATGTACATATATACATATATACATATAAAACAGCTTAGGAAGCTGTCCACGCTACATAATCTGTACCACGATAAGAAGCATCCTTTGATAGCGGACATATTTAAGATGAAAATTATATAGCTTATTTTATTGTTTCTATGAATGTTTGTATGTATAGAGACATACATCTAGACAAAAAAAGCGAAAAAGAAGAAAGAAAAAGAAGAAGAAGAAGAAGAAAGAAAGAAGAAGAAGAAGAAAGAAAGAAGAAAAAGAGAAAGAAAGTACAAAAATTGAAGTCTATTTTTCGCTATTTTCGATACGTGTTTATGTTGATACTTACATGTGTATGTATGCGCGTACGTGTGTATGTATATATACGTATATATGTAAGTGTCGATAAACTCGCTGCAACTGCTACAAGGCCGTGTAACGCAACGTTTTAACAGATAACCCGATTGGAGTTATGATTTAAATTAAACAAGCAACAACTACAAAGACGACGACGATTAATATCAAACTAGAAATATCTAGACGAGGAAAAGTTCATCACGTAAGTATATTATGTATACTTTAAGTGAACATATTATACGTACTTACGTAAAAGTTTTCAAAGTTAAATTTAAGTTTAAGTATGTAAAAAGATATCTGAGAAATTAGAATTATCTAAATAAATATTTAAGAAATGGATATTACTTAATAACATTATATTATGTTATTAATTAATTTAATATATATATATTAAACACGTTAAGTTTAAACGTGTAATTTATTCAATATTTTACTATAATAATTTTCGTATATATTTCTTATATATATTTCATAATTTTTGTTTTTTATTATATATATATATATATATATATATATATATATATATATATATCAATCATTATTATCGTATATACATATTATACATATTATGTATTTACGATATATACATATGTATTTATATATTATAAATATGTATTTTATATATATATATATATATATATATATATATTATTTTTATTCTTTCTCAACTTTTTAAGAAATTATAACGTAATATTTCGATGCGGGCACGATTATATAAGCCTTTCGAAAAACCTTTTTTCAACTTGAATGATTAAGAAATACGAGCAATGGGAAGTAATATTGAGGATGCACTTTAAAAGTGCATTAGTCAAATACCCTCGACGGGTTATCTAGAATACATCGAAAGTGATTCGAATCTCGATAATAAACTAACTCTGCGTTGGTTTATTTCGTTATTCTAATAACTATAATGGAGTCACTTTTATTATAATAAAATTAGAGAATATTTACGAGGAAGAAAAGAGAAAAGAGAGAAATATTTCTTTTTTTTTTCTTTTTCCTTCTTTCTTTTTCTTTTCCTTTTTTTTTTTTAATTTTTCTTTTTCCTGTCGTTTGACAAACGTCAAAAAAAGAAAGAAAAAAAAAAAAAAAAAAGAAATGAAAAAGAAAAAAAAAGAAGAATCCCAAAAGGAGTAACTACTCACGCTTCGGTCGGTGGTGGCGAATAAAATGATGAATTATAGGTGTTCACGTCGACGGCCTTCACTGGCACCAACAACCCCCTTGGCAGGCCGTCCATTCTCTCTTCCCTCTCCTCCCACTCCTTTCAATATGTCGTTTTATCCTTTTCTATCAATCGTATCTTCCTCGGACGAGGAAAGATTAATCGCACAGCACTTCTAAGTACTGCACCAATCAAACAAATACATATATATAAATATATATATATATATGTATGTATGTATGTATATATGTATGTACGAATGTATGTATGTATGCATATATGTAATACATGTGTGTATGTATGTATGTATGTGTATGTGTACAATACACCATTAAGCATAAAATCTAACTTCTTCCCCCAAAGAGACACTCGCGTATATCACTCCGTCCTTCGTTTCACCGAGTCTCTCATCATTCAGTCTTGACGAGAGAAAAAAAGAGGGGAGGAAGGGCGGGAGAAAAAGAGAGAGAGAGAGAGAGAGAGAAAGAGAGAGAGAGAGAGAGAAAGAGAGAGAGAAAGAGAGAGAGAAAGAGAGAGAGAGAGGGAGGGAGAGAGAGGGAGGGAGAGTGTGGGCCACGATGCTCCCTCACTCTTTCTCTATTTCTCTCTGTTTTGTTGAGAAACAGGAAAGAAGAGGAAAGAAAGAGAAAAAAAGAAAAAAGAAAAAAGAAAAAAAAAAGAAAAGAAAAAGAACACATCTAAATTTCCCTCGATATATAGGACATAGAAGAACACACTTACTTAAGTGAGTGGGCGCCGACACAAACAAACACTCACTCACTCACTCACTCACTCAAACGCATATGCCGCCGATTTTTTCTTTCTCTGTCTCTGTCTCTCTCTCTCTCTCTCACTCTCTCTCTTAGGGATCGGCCATGTTTATAAAAGAACCGTGTCGTATCGTCTGTATATATGGAAATATACGTATGTATATATGTATATATGTATATATATATATCTCTTCGTACTTCCTTTGTTTTCTCTCTCTCTCTCTTTCGTGTATTACGCAGTTATTTTTTATTAATTATACTTTTCGTCTCTGTCACTCTCTCACTCTCTCTTTCTCTTTCTCTCTCTCTCTCTCTCTCTCTCTCTCTCTTAAGCGATGCAAGAGAAAAAAAATGGCGACTGCCGAGGATAGACGCTCGCTCTGTCACTGTTAGAGAGGTTAACTTCCGGCGTGGTAATAAAAACGTGCTTGAAACGATGACAACCAATAGCTCCCACCTCGGCTTCTCTTTTTATCGATTCGCGTGCACACCAGCAGCAGCAACAGCAAGCAACAGCAGCGGCAAGCAGCAGACTACTGCACGTCTCTCTCTCTCTCTCTCTCTCTCTATTACTCTCTCTTTCTAGGCCTCTCTATCTATCTTTCTCCTTTCTCCCCCACTACACACCCTCCACCGTGGTCTCCTTGCCCCTTTAGACGACGAGTTATAACCGTTTAGCACCACCCTTCATGATAGTATATGCTCTTCGCTCGGAGGGCAATTGGTCAACTTACAGACACAACTACGATCGACGATGACGATTACGACGACGACATACCACTCTCGACACTTTAGATCGATAGATGGACGCGCCGGCACAACTACGACGACGACGACAATGATGATGATGATAGTTCCTATTTTTTTCTTTCACGCTAGTACATAAGTTAGTACCTTCGTTGCAATTTCGCGGATATTCTCTCTTTCTCTTTCTACTTAGCTTTCTCTCTCTTTCTCTCTCTCTCTCTCTCTTTTCTCTCTCTCTAACACTTTTACTTTTTCGAATATCGATTGATCAATCAATGAGTACACCGTTTTTATTTTATTTTCCCTCGTTGTGTTACCGGTAATTGATTACTTTACGAGTTTCACAGTTCATCGTTCGTTTCGTAGTTGTGTGTGTGTGTGAGAGAGAGAGAGAAAAAGAGAGAGAGAGAGAGAGAGAGATAGATAGATAGATATATATATACGTACGTACATACATATGTATATCCTGTTTTTTTTTTAAATCATAGAGAGAGAGAGATGGATATATAATATAGAAATATAAGATATAGGGAAGAGAAGAAACAGAAGAGAGAGAAAAAAAAGGGAAAGAGGGAGACAACGTCCTCGAGCTAATAGATCTTACCGCGTCGGCATTTGGTTACGAACTGAATGTAGTCGATCGGCTAGTTTCGGTTCGGCGGCCGAACGCGCCAAGGATCCAACGTCGGGTGGTATCGCGGAAAGAAGAAGAGTGGGGGAAGAGCTGGCTCTTAAGGGGGCGAGAGAGTCTCGATGGTAGAAGTGGTGGGAGATAGGAGGAGGTAGGTAGGTAGATAGCTTGGTAGGGAGAGGCAAGGGAGGGGAGGAAGGTTGGAACGTATAGAGCATCGAGCTTCGCCAAATGCTTCCCTACGACCGACTCGTGCTGAGCTATAGTCGAGCAGCGTCGGCGAGTCATGCGGTTGAGAGAGCGCCCTTCACCTATTCTCTCTCTTTCTCTCTTTCTCTTTCTCTCACTCTGTTTCATTGACCGACCAACCGGTCTACCATCTCATCCTTTTCTATCTACCTATCTGTCTATGTATCTATCTATCTTTCTCTTTCTCTCGCTTAGAAAAGACAAGGAAATAACAGAACAGGGATGGTTGAGAACTCGGCTTGCTTGACCTACTACGTTTAAACGAAGGATTCGATTTATGTGTATATGTATCTATGTAAGTACATACGTACATATTTACGTAAGTATATACGTATGTATGCATATCATATATATATATATATATATTATATATAATTGTGTCGATGGTTCTAAGAAAGAGAAAGAGAGATAGAAAGAGAGAGAGAGAGAGAGAGAGAGAGAGAGAGAAGGATAGTCGTATCCGGTGGAATTTAAAGCGCCTCTCTTTTCCCGCGTTGTACCGCGATCCAAGAGACGACCTGGGGGATGCCAAGGAATACCGATCGTTTGTTTTCCCCCAATAGAAATAAGTTGAGACGCGGCGATCGAAGGATTACGTGGAGGAACGTAGAATTCGTGAGGTTATGTTTGTCGTAGTTGAGGTTATTTAAGGTTACACGCGCGTCGTACTTACTGGTAGTAGCGCGCGTCGAACAGGAGATCGCGCGACTACCAATAGATTCAACGAGAGAATCCTCTATAGGAGAGAGCCCCTTGGTTTGCGTGCGTACACTTTTGTCGATGGCGATCAATGAGATACATGCGTTTAATCGAACGCAAACCACGTTAGCAACCAAAAGGGCAACAATTTCTTGGAGATCAACGGACACTGACGAATATAGCCATTAAGGGGCCCCGTGTCCTTAGAAGTAATTTTTAAACTGACGAATAGAATTCTAAGATAAAGAGAGAGAGAGAGAAACTCTAAGAGAGAGAGAGAGCTTTCTTTCTTTTTATTAAAAAAGAAAATTCTAAACCATTTCCTTTAGATCAACTTCACGACAGACTGACAACTGGAATAATGTCAAAATTCTAGTGATATCGCCGAAGGAAGTTTTACATGAGCTTCTTCTAAATCATGAAATTCTTCGAACGTTCTCACTTTGTATAGTTTTCTTGTAACAAATGGATCTATTCGATATTTTTTATTTTTGTTTTGTTTTGTTTTGTTTTTTATTTATTTATTTATTTTTTTTTTATTACTTTCCTTCTCCTGAAAATAACTTTAATATTATTATAACTATCTCTCTTCGATATTCGTTCTATTTAATGATTATAAATATATCGACAAATGATATATATTTTCGATACTGACTCAATACTGACAAATCCAAATCGCGAAATTTTTTGTCGTCATTTGTGGTTTTTTTGTCGTTCGTCAAACTAATCGACGGTCGACACTACGTATACAATCTAAGCACGCAAATATTTAATTCGTAGATTTGTTCGTTGAACGGACAACAAAGCTCCATTGATTTCATTAAAAGAAAAAAAGAAGAAAAAGAAGAAAAAGAAGAAAAAGAAAAAAGAAAAGAGAAAAAAAAATTGTTTTATCCGAAATCCAATAGATTAGAAAGAAAAAAATTTTTATCATACTTATTCCGCATAAGTAGATATGTCATAATTAATTGATTATTTTGATTGTATAAGAACAATTTAGATCTTCCTATTCTGATGTATCTCGTACGAACGAAATTTTAATCGTCTTTTTAACCGTCTGGCATTTTGGAACATTTTTTTTCTCCCTATCTCTCTCTTTCTCTCTATCGCATTATCTTATATAAATACATTACTCGGTTTACCAGGATAGCGCTTACGGTAATCAGAAAGAGATAAGAATGTGTTAATGTGTCGTATTATTACTACCGTTATATCTAATTTGTGATGAATTATTATTAATAAATTGCGCATAAAACGCATTCCATTGAATATAAAAGAACGAACGAACGAACGAACAAACGACGAACGAACGAACGAACGAACGAATGGATGAACGTACGAATGTCTCTCGACGTTGATCAATTAATTCATACGAAAGTAAGTCCCAAGTCGTCGGGCTCGTTTCAACTCAAACGTAGCAATGCATATTCATTATTAAAAGAAACGGAAAGAATCAACGCATTCACTCACTTTGATAACGCATTGCGTTTCTTATAATCGCATTACGTTACATCCAGTTCTCTTTGCTTCACTGGTCTCGTTCACGGTTTAAAAAGGAAATAAATAATATACTTACGTACGTACGAAATTAGAAAAAACAAAAAGTAAACAAATAAATAAATAAATAAACGTATTGTTATATCTAGATTTTTAATTTTGATTGAAATCGGATTTTTTACTCCGAACGTCAAACTATGATTATTGCAAAGCCACAAGCGCGTTTATATAATCGTTGTACTTATCAAACTATAAGTAATTGTTATTCGATTGTTATATTTGTATTTTTATATTTTTTTTCGTAAAAAGTATTGGATTACAGATCATCGCACAACGAGAGAATATATTTCGACAAATTCTTTTTTTTTCTTTTCTCTTTTTAATTTGTTGTTTTTATTTTTTATTTTTTATTTTTTTTTTCATATCAACATTCGCGCGATATTATTAATTATTAATTTAAATAATTGACGATAGTATTACCTTTTAACATCGATGCTGCAACATTTTCATAGCAAGAGAAACACGAGGAGACTCTGCTTCATTCAAATCAAAATCAATAAAGCAGATTGTGCATCCATATGTCTATACACACGTATACATACATATATACGTGCATACATATATACACGTATATACCTATTTAGATACATATATACATACATGCATACATGCATGCACGCACTTATATATATATATATATACGGCACTCCTAAAGACCAGACATTATGTGAGTATACGAACTACTTTATGTGAAAAGGGTGTGACTTCCGCTCTATCAGACTCGATTGTAATCCACACAGGTGGAAGAAATGAACGCCTTTATCGTCTCGATACGTTCCCAGCATTATACGATACGTTCTTCTCATTAGATGATGCAATTTCTTTTTTCCCCTTTTTTTTCTTTTTTTTTTTTAATCGACCACACCCAAAAAAACAAAATGAAAGAAGAATAAGAAGAAAAAGAATACGCGCACCTTCGACAATCTCAATGTCTTCTTTTCTTATCGTTAAATTTGTGAAACGAGCTGTAGTTCGTTTCTCGCGTTGGAAGGTGCATGCAATTGCGTAAAAAAAAAAAAAAAAAAAATGGAAATGAAAAAGAAAAAGAAAAAGAAAAAAGGAAAAAGAGAAAACGCAAAGAAATGCCAAAAAGAGCCAAAAAGAGTGGGAACGGGAAAAAAGGGGGAGAGGGATGGGAATGAAGAGAGAAAGAGAGAGAGAGAGAGAGAGAGAGAGAGAGAGAGAGAGAGAGAGAGAGAGAGAGAGAGAGAGAGAGAGAGAGAGAGAGAGAGAAAGAGAAAGAGATAGAAAGAGAGAAAGAGAGATAGAGTGAGGAAACGAAGAAGACGGAAAGAGGACGCGGAAGACGAAGAAGACGAAGAAGAAGAAGAAGAAGAAATAAGAGGAAGGGATTTCAGAGCGGGTTGCAAGGTCTCGCAATTTCGTTCTTGCCTTCTGAGAAACGGATTCGGCTGAGCTCTCTTGGGACTTGGTTATACTCGAATCCATTTATTAATGAGAAAAACTGTTTAGTCTTAACGACTGATTACGAGGTAACGATTTACTTTAAACAAAATCGTGTTATTATTCACGTTATCAGTTTTATGATTAATCGTTGGAAAAAAAAGAAGAAAAAACGAAAAAGAAAAAAAAAACAGGAAAAGCCAAAAGTGCACCGTAATCGACGATTCTTTTCTTTTTCAAATTCGACATATTTTGAACTTTTTTTTTTTTTTTTTTTTAACCAAAACCTTTTGTAATCCATAAATAAGACCGAAAACAAGTCCAGAAAACTTTTCTCACTATAAATTTATCTGCTATATCCAATAACGATGTTCAATTGATGATTAGCAATTTCGATGCGATTAATCGATTTAAATAATTTCAATTAATTCATATTGTATTCATATTGTAACAATTTGATAATTGTAATTAATACATGCAGTGTTACGTAACATTGTAATATGTAATAATAGCATCATATGCAATGATATGAAATATATCATATCGAATAAAAATCAAATTCATTCATAATCGAATGATTTGATATATATATATATATATATATATATATATTGTAGATAAGCTATAACGATCTGTGAATAAATGTGCGATCTCTCTTTGAGAAATCGATATCGAGCGGGACGATATTCTTATATCGAGTCACACCGAGTTGGATCAAACTGATATCTCGTAGGACCGTACTCGATGGACACGACCGAGTGATGCGCCGTGGGATGCATACAGGTCATTTCGTGGTACAGACAGGTTTTTCTTGGCGGTACATAAGAGGAGAACCGCCTCTTGGATTCCCATCCATTAAGGACAGGAATCTCGTACCGTTTGTTCG